TGAACGGATTTCGATGAAATTTGATATAGATGTAGAGGATAGTCTGGAAGAACACATAGGTTATTCACTTTTGTTTTTTTTTAATTCCACGCGGAAGTAGTCGCGGGCGAAAGCTAGTTAGCAATAAACACATAGAACGCCTACAACTTTTGTTGTTATAACCTCAACTCGTAATTTATTTTTTAAAACGCATTGCATTTTAGAAATATTTAACACTTGTTAAAATAAGAAAAAAACGTCCTACGTTAATCACAGATAAATTACATTTCTAACGACGCAAGAGTTTTAAAAATCGGGCCAGTAGTTTATGAAGTATTTCAATATATGCAAAAATCTTGGGAAATACAAAAGATTATAGCAAGATTTAAGAATATAACGATCGTGTGTATCAACAAAAATCCTAAATCACTGAAGCCATGCATCATTCTTACGATTTCTTTCATGTGTTCTTTTATCCCGCGTTATCCATCATTCTCTGAGACTGCCAAAAATCCTCATATGGATTCGGTATTAAGCTTTGATTTTAACATCTTGTTCGTCCTTGTGAAAGCATTACATTATATTATCGAGTTAATCCATTACTTATTCCAAAACTCGACGTTCTTCTAATTTCGTAAATAAAACTAAAAATAAAATCGAATCACGAAAGAAATCAAACTTTTGATTATCTTCATTAAGGGATCACTCCCAGATCACTATGGGAGACTCTTCAAATTAAGTAATTGTTTAAATAATCTAAATACATTTAAAGCTACAATTTCTTTATTGAATGGACATTTTAAAAACCAAATTAAACCACAAATTAATATGTTAAAAATCAACAATGAAGTTATACTAATTCTTCATACCAGGCCTCCAAGCAATATTATCCAAACCATGGAACTGTCTCTTCAGTATCTTCCCATCAGCCCACTTTGAGTCCAAATAACTGTCATCATCATCTTGTTCCAACTTCTTCCACTCCTCTTGCTTTCTGTACGCATGCAGCATCAACTGCTTCCTCTCATCTTCACTCATCACCGGTTCTCTTCCCGGAGCACCTTCAGATGTAGAGCACAGCTTGACTGTCACTTTAGTCTTATCATTCTTTCCTGAAAATTAAAATACATTCAGCTTATGGCTAAGTCAAAAGTAAATTAAAACTACATCACTCTAAAACGATACAATTCTTTGAGTGCATTTACAGTTTCTTTGGTGATCACTTACGAGGTGAACCATTCGTTCTTTTGTTTTTGTATTCCATAATCGTTCTTCCTTTATTTTTTAATTTATTACAAAGACAATTACCTAAATGATCGCTTAATTTATTCCCATTAATAAACTTCTTTCCACAAGCCCACAAGCATGCTCTAGATGGGTCAATGACTTCGTTAGCTGCATAGGTTCCAGTTAGATCCTCAACATTGTCCAGTTCCATTCTCACTGGATCGTGCGGTGGGAGACCAGCTGGGAATACGATTTTAGTAGCCCCACGAAGCTCATCGAGTGCTCTTGCTACATCTTTTTGAGTCACAAATTGACGAAGGTCTACCTGTAAAATAAATAACTTTGGTAAAACATTTTGAAGAATAACTGTAAATGTATCTACAACTAATGTTAACAGCTTCGGAAGTAACTCCTGGATGAAATAATTAGTACGCAATGATATGTTAACACAATAAGCGTTACTGACAAAAATGTATTCAACAAAGGTAGTATGAATCTATCTATGCATATTGTTAGTTTGAACTTCTAGCATTTCTAATTTTAAAAATAATTCTATGTACTTATAAGTTACAAACATACCCGCTTTTTGCTTATCATCTCTTTGGCCGTTTCCATGGCTTTCTTGAGCACTTGTTGCAAATGAGTGGGCGGGGCGAAGCCGCAGCGGCGACCCATTTCGTCCTTTTGTACGACGTAATCTTGCGGCGCGCACTTCTTAGCCCAAGGATCTTCTAGTTTTAGTTCTTTTATCTGCAACATTGTATGCTGTAATTGGTTTCTCGTCTTCTCTACGTATGTGGGCTTATTTTTACCCGCAAAATATTGCTGTTTCAACTTTTTCAAGGACAATAAAAGGGATGGTTTTTTATTTAATGTTTAGATAGTAGTCCATTGAATATCATACTAATATTTTAAATGCGAAAGTTTAGATGTATGTTTGAGATTTTTGGCTTAACTTCTGAACAGATCTCGTTGAAATTTGGCACAGATGTAGAAGATACTTTGGAAGAGCAAATAGGCTACTTATTTCATTAATTCACGTGAACGGAGTCGCGTGCGAAAGCTAGTTACATAAGATATTATAGGTTCAAAGTCTACATACCTGTTCTTCAGTCAATCCTTGCATTTCTAATGGCTGGAAGGTCCCATGCTTCTCGAGTTCTTCCATTTCATAACAAATACGAGTCACTTTCAATCTTCCGTTGAATATCGCCGTTATGTCTTTGACTACATCGTCTACGGACCTCTCCACACTTGTTTCGTAAAGGAATTGATTCTCATTAGCGCGTTTAACGAGTAAAATCACCATATTTGTGATTTACAATCAGTGCTGCGAAGAAAGTATTTTGTGATTGACTAAACAATGGTTGCTAAGCATTAAAATAGATCGTTTCCATGGCAACATAATTTGTTTCATTTATCTATTATTTGTTTTTGTTTTTTATATTACGTGCCAAAAAGGTTTTCCTCGGTTTAAAAATTACCTGGCATAATTTTTGGTTGTAAATTCTTGTTTAACATCCTACTCGTTTCGCTTATCTGCTTAGGAGGGCTGAAGTCTATTAAATTTTCGCAAAGGGATTATTTTTTAATACGGGCTTAAGGCAATATCTATTGAAGAAGTAAATATAATATCTAAGGAACAGTAACGATACTTTGCTCAACTTAGCTACAAAGGGGTTTGGTCCAAGTTTAAATTATTTTTTCAATTAAAAAGAATTCAATAGTCTATTGCTTCAACACTTCCTGACGAAATCCAACGAAATTGCGGTGTGTTTTCAGAACAAATCCGAAGAATTTTCACTACAGACAAGTACATTTAAAAGATTAAAACTCTAAACTTTTACTTCTCTTAGAACAATCTTCCTTACATTAGACAACTTTTACTTTACAGTATAAATTCACAATGTCTAACGATTGTCTCAGGTAAAACTGAAATGTATGTAAGGACACTGACCTCTATAAACGGATAGGTTATAAACTGCGGTGTTTTGTGTCTTATCATTACAGATCTGTATATGGGACTGCACATGTCTGTAGAAGTCACTTGCATGTCGTTTATGCCGTTTATGCAGTTCTACCCGCATTTCTACATGGTTAGATAAACCTCGTAGCACTAAACTTAATTCCGTTTTATCGAAAAGAGATGAAGATAGCGTTTGTTATCGCACATCTGCTATCGCTTGCGGCGGTCGACCNNTCTCCCGCTACATTAGATAAAGGCCCTGTACACGTTAGTTATGCTCGCCTGGTACTGAGGGTCGGTGAAATTTTTTAACAGCATTATGTCTCGCAAGCAAACTCTGCTACGGATTATGTGAAATCTTTATTTATCTTGGAGTTTTCTTTGGAATATGAGAGTGTTTTAATATCATTTGCATTTATGATTTACCTTTTTTAAACATTGCTTAGAACAGAAAATATTGCGAGTCGTTTTTCACTTCGTGTTTTTTTTGTGCTTGCACAGATTATAAAAACTTCCCATAAAACTAAACAACAGTTTATGCAATTACTGAAACTTATAGGCTATTACTTACGACAAATATAAAGAAATGAAGTAGTTATTACCCTATATACCTCCAGCGAATCGTAATTCGAAACACTGCCACATGCAGAGTGTAAGTAAACAATAGTGACAACAAAAATAAATTTAGATGGATGTTTGTTAGAGTTTGTAGCCTAAACGGCTGAACGGATCTTTATTAAATTTGGCATAGATGTAGTAAATAGTTTAGAAAACCACATAGGCTACTCGCTTTTGTTTTATTTTTATTTCCACGCGGATGGAGTCGCGGGCAAAAGCTAGTAGTTTATGTAATTTCGTCATGGGCTGTTATTTATAGTCTGTATTCGGTATCGATTCTATGGTGATTTCAGACATTTTGATTGTCTGTGTCGACTTAATCTTTGATTATCGCCAAATGTCACTCATATACTTATATGCTCTTTGTCACTTCGGTGTTACTACTTATATGCTCTTTGGTTACTATCGATTTATCGATTATAATATCTTTCTCAGTAAATTAAGTTTATCGTATATTTAATATCGTGCTTATTTTAACCCAAATCCAAATTGTTTAAAACATCAATTGTAACGTACTCGTGTATTCGGCAATTTAATATGCGACATTTTCAGAGCCAGCATTGTACCAGTATTGCTGCTTGTGACAGGTTTATTATAAGACTTTATTAACGAATTTTAACAGTACCGTTTCATTCCGTGACTTTAGGAAATTGCTATATTAAGTATGTCACTTAAATCACGGTTTACCCTAAAACTTGCGTTTAAAATACATTTTTGGATACACATACGTTAACTCTTTTATCGCTTTATCGATACGTTATCACAACAATTATTTTTTATAAATGACTAGCTATTCCCGTGCGGCTTCATCCGCATCAAATTATGAAAATTAGTTAAATTGTTTACATTTGTCAAATTATCAATAGCAAATGTCAAAATGACATGACATTACAAACCTTGGCAATCTTATTCCTTTATGTTGGCAGCAATTTATGGTCTCTTTTCCACATTAGGGTTTTTATGCAAAATATTTACCCCCTAAGTTTAATCGTGTGTAAATATTTAGCCTAAAGCGTGACGTAAGTGTAGGACTTTTTATAAAAAAAAGAATTATTCAAAAATCTGCTGTAATTGCTGACATCTTAAGTAACAAAGAAGTGTGTGCTTACGCTTTTTAATAGTATAAAGTATAGATATAGAAGTATAGATTGTAACTGAAAATTTAAAACACGTGTCACGTGTCTATATGAATATTATGTGATTGTTTCAGATACCCGGCCATTGCGCACATCGGCACGGCCATGATGTGTCATCAGAGACGCCTGAACTCGCTGAGGTCCGCCACGAAAATGCCACGCATCATGGGAAGGTATGTAAAAATATTATCTTTGTATAGTACTGAGGACCGAGTGAATATAAAACAGACAAGATTCAGTAATTTCACATCATATTTACTGAAAATCTTCTTACTAATAAAATGTTAAAGTTTAGATAAATGGATGTTGGAATTTGTAGACCAAACGACTGAACGGATCTCGATAAAATTTGGCATAGACGTAGAGGACAATCTGGAAGAACACATACTTATTTTTGTTTTTATTTAATTCCACGCGGATGGAGTTGCTGGCGAAAGCTAGTATTATTATAAAGAAACAATTGTATTTTTGTCTGTTTTTGATTTACGCACAAACTACATGGCTGATTTTAAAAATTTCTTTCACTATTACAAAGGTAATTTATTCGTGAGTAACACAGGTTGTATTTTATATTATTTTTTTAAATTCCCGCGGGCGAAATCGCGAGCAACAGCTAGTATTTAATATATTTGTGAACATATTATTGTTTAAATAATGCGCCATATAAATAAAATTATAGGTGATATGCAATCATCACTTTAATTTATTATTTGAAAATTAATTATAAACAAATATCAGGCATAATTATGTTGAATTTATAACTTGTTGACAGTTTATCATACACTAGCTGTTGCTCGCGATTTCGCTTGCGTGAATTTTAAAAAAATAATAAAAAAACATTAAACATAACAAACATAACAACAACGGTGAAGGAAAACATCGCGATGCAACCTGCACATATCGGCGAAAAAATTCAAAGATATGTGTGAAGTCAACCAACCCGCACTTGGCCAGCGTGGTTGACTATGGCCTAGTCACCCCGTATTAGGGTAGGCTCCGAGCCCCTCGGTATGGACGTATGAGTATAGTGAGCTGGCGATGATGCGATGAATAAAAAAACATAGCCTACACCTAAAAATATAGCCACTAACTTAGCTTTTTAATAGTGAAAAAATTTTTAAATCAGCTTAGTAGTTTTTGAATTATTTCAATACATACAAAAACACTAATCTTTCCACTTTATGATATTATTATAGATTTATTTTGTTGTGGTTTTCACTGATTATAACATCGATACTATAATGTTCAATCTTTATTGTTTTGTTTTTTTTTTTAATCTTTTATTTTTTATTTTTTATACATGACAATTACTTCATCCAATGAGTACATTCAACCTTCATACACAAATATGGCCACAGTATTGAGCATACAAATTCTAAGCAATTACTTTAATGCCACTTATAACTTAACTCTGACTTTAGTTACGTTTGTGTTAGACATGGTTATGATTTAAACATCCATAATTTAGAGTCAGAAACTTGGGTCACCTAGATGTACTACCAATAAACCTAAAGTGAATTTATTACTAGATTTATTCTTTGCCATCACACGCAGTAATTTTACGTAAATTGTGCCACGTTACACATTGTAAGTACTCCCGACATATTGTTATCTCGTTTCGCTAGAGGGCGCTCGTGAAATTGACTGAAAAAACCTTTTGTCGTTTCATTTCAGCGGCGTCTGAAGTAGAGTTTGTTTTTATCGAAAGCAATGTTGTGTGAAACATCGAAATGTTACGGAAAAGCAATTCCATTTATTACGTTATTATAGTTGCTTTTTATTGAACTTTGGTGTAAATAAGTTTCTTTAGAAAAGGCCAAATAGAAGCACAAAATCTCCTTATATTCCTGATCAAATTATACATACGTGTTCTTTTACAGAAATTATAGATAAACTAGCTATTGCCCGCGATTTCGTCTACGCAATATTAAGATAAAAAATTAGCATATATTATGACCGTCTATGGCAGCTACCCTTCAGTGAAAGTCTGGTCGAAATCGGCCCAGCCGATTCGGATTGCCCGAAAGAGAGGCGGTTTGCGGACAGACAGACAGACAAAACAATTAAATGCGATTTTCGTTAGAAATTCGTCACCTTTCCGAAATCTGGAATTTTTCTCTTGGTCTTACAGACACTCCAATTTTATGATTTATATAAATAATTAGATTATTTTTACCGACAACAAAATTCAAAAATATGCTCCGTGTAACTATTAACTATTTTACGATTGAACAAACTATGGACGTGAAAAAAAAACCTACAAATATATTTCACTTTAAACTTTATGACTTCGAGTTACAATAATGAAAGCAAAAAATACGTATCGGAGGATACGGTTGACAAATTGAAGTTTACGATGCCCCCGGGGCGGAAATTTGCATGTGCTATTGTGACTACGAGCTGATTGAGACATAAAACATAAGCGGTAGCGATTTTGGTATCATTACAATAAAACAATTTCTCAAAATCAGTCATATAATCACAGTTTTATTATAAACGTTACCCTCTTTATTTTGCCAGTTATTTATCTTTGAGTTAATTACCAACATTATAAAAATATAGTTAGCTGTCAGTATATATTGTCAATTAAACAAAGGTGAAAATAAATTATTTGTATCTAAACTTTAAATAAGATATTATTTCTAAACCCTATAATGTCTTGTCTTTCGTAATTCATAAAACACCCTATAAAATACATGTCTCTGAAAGTGTTTACCTGTTTTCTGTTATACTAATATCGTTAAATAAAGTATGAATCAGTTTGTAACTTGTACCATACACCGCGCTTTGATATCTTTCGGTTTGATTGTAAATTTAAACTCAGCTGTTAACGCACGTCCCATTTTATTTACGGCTTTGTTTAGTGCTAATGGTTACTACATGCCCTACTGCACTACGCTTAATATTAAAAAACTTTTTATGATATATGTTAAAGTAAGGAAAATAATATAACTTCATAAACATAGTCATCCTCTCTCTTACCTTATCTTACTCCCGTAACGTCAACAGGATTTTCCTCCTTAAAATAACTCTATCATCCGTTATCTCAGTCATCACTACCATTGATCATGTCACCTTTCACGCAAGGAGCTGAAGTGCAGATCGCAAGCAGGGAAAGCATAATTGCTGAGACCGCCCCCACGATGTAATACTTGACGGTAGTTCCGTGGGGGCACAAAAAGTCCATAGAGAGGGTTGTTTAGTTAGTATCGGGACTCATGCTAGGTTAGGTGAATACTAATGAGCCTGAGTCCGACACACCAGGCATGTAGCTCCCATGTCTGACGGTGCTGCAAAACATTTTTCCCTCTATAAGAAAAAAATAAAAAAAAAAACCTTTCACGCAATCCATCTCTTTTAAGTCTACCTCTACTAATGTACCAACACGCATAGTTAACTAATTTCTCATAGTGTTTCTAGTAAATTGATAGAAAAGAACAAAAACTTATTGTTACTTCTAAAAACATCTTCAATCATCAAAAGTTTTCAAGTCGCTGTTTCTCTCCACTCATATGTAAATCACATTTTCAAGTGTACTTCTCGTTATCTGGATTTATTGGAGAGCTTCTGTCATGTTTGTATTTCCATTTTGTTGTCTCTGTTTAACTTTATTTGACATTGGATCTTTCTGAACACATATACATATAATAAAATTGATGTGACAGAAAGAAAAAATCCAGATATCGCGAAAATGTAATTGCGTTGCTAATAAAAATCGCATTTAAAAGTTTTTGTCTGTATGCCCTGTTTGCATCGTGACAGATTTTGATTGCAAGTTAGTGGATACACGCGGGATTATAGACCACGACTTTTTGTTTAAATTCAATACTATCGAAATATGAGAGCGACAGTTTCTTTGTTCAATAATCAGAGAGGCTCAGTATTTAAGCGCTTGACTTGGAATCTGCAAGTCCAGTGTTCGAATCCCGTCATCTAGACTTTGGTCAACCATTCTCTCCTGATGTTGTTTCACTTCACACAGATCCTTAAATTCCCTTGCAGATATGTGCAGGTTCCTACCAGTTCAGCTGGTACATAAATTTTCAAAACAGATTACTAGTCCTGTGCAGTGTAACACAAGCCTTTAGCGCCATCAGTTATGGTTTGAACGCAAATACATTCGAAGGCTTTGCAATATATCAAAGGAGATTTCTCTACCAGTATTAAGTTACGATATAAATCACTGGCTATTTACATGTTATTGTTATCGTTTTGTCACTACTGTTGTTGTTATATTAATAAACTAGCTGTCGCTATATATTTACGCCGTTAAACATAGGGGGGTAAATATGTTGGATAAAATCCTAATGTGGGAAAGAGACCATAAGTTGCTGCCAACATCAAGGAAGCAAGGTTGCCAAGGTTTGTCATCATGTCCTGTCATTGTGACATTTGCAATTGATAATTTAACACATGTAAGCATTAAAATAAAATTTTCATAATTTTATGCGGATGTAGTCGCACGGAAACAGCTAGTAAAATAATAAAAATATAATCTATGTTACTCAGACATAAATTACATTTCTGATGGTGAAAGAATTTTTTAAACCAGCCCAATATTTTTTACCTGAATCAAATACGTACGAAAATTCAAAAATAAAAAAAATGTCTTCTTTATAATAATAATATAGACATCAAATTATGCTGCAAACATGCAAAAGAATATATTAACGCAATTTAGATGGCTTAAACTAACTTAAAAGCTAACATAATAATGTTTTTTAATTTTAAAATCTCAATTATTATTCTAGAAAACATCGCCTGTAAATCCATCTATATTAAATTTTAAAGGCGCCATACACGAACTGTTTCAATCGCGATTTCTACGTTCGGTCTTGCATTTTTTGTAGTATTCGATATACTCGGATCATAGTTAAAAAGCAAAGAATCAGTTTAAAGCAATCAGTTCGTGTATAACGATACTTAATTCGTAGAATCACAAATAACCTGATTGAATATCAGAAATTCGATGAAATTGGAAGCTTCAAATGTATTTTCCTTTTGGGGATTAAAGTATTATGACTCATTAGTAAGCGTTGAAAATACGTCATTAAAATTTTGCATGGAAACGCATTTAAAATATATAACAGATGTTTGGTTCAGAGAATTGTGACGTAATTGTTAAGTGCTTGACTGGATCGGATAATCTGTGGACATGACGCGCGTCCAAGGTCAATCCTCGTAATTTACTAATTCGATTTTCAATTTTCGAATTTAATATAACATATAAACACATACTCTCCCACACACACATACACAAAAACACACTCACACACACACGCACAAAACACTCAACAACGCTATAGCACAAAAAAAATGTAAGTAATTTTCTTTTCCTTTGTTTTTTTTTATTCGTCATTTTTATAAGAAAATTTAATGTTTTTCTTTGTATTTCATGTTTAGACACTTATGAATATGTATTGCTCTTCACAAATAGGGAAAGGGATTGGCTCCTGCAGCACAGGTTCCCCTAGTGCAGGAGCCAAGGCTCTCATGAAATGTTTATATTTTTAAAGTGAAATAATAAAGAATTTCTTTAATATTTACATCCCACGTTCGTCCCGTGAGCGTCGGTGGCTCAGGGGTTTAATCACATGACTTGTAATCGACAGGACTTGGCTTCGAGCCCTCCATGTACCAATAGGTTTTCCGATATTTGAATTTCATATGTACATTTATCTGACCTTCTTACGGTGAAGGAAAACATCGTGATGCAACGTGTAAATATCGGTGTAACCCAAATATATGTGTGAAGACCACCCACAACTCTGAACCTCCTCCGGTTATCCTTTTTCGGACAATCTAGACAGTGGTCCATCTAGACCACTTTGAGTATGACTAATCTAAACAGTTTTAGACGTAAACAACATTATTATGCTGTAACCTCAAAGGTCTTCAGCTAACATTGTTTGAAATACTTTAGTATATGTTTGTGTTAACCGAAAACTTCGTAACACATTGAATTTTCAAGTTAATTACAGTGTTCATAATTTAATAACACGAGTTATGAGTTAAGGTAAATATGATTGATTTTCTTGTGATATTTGTTTTCTTTGTACTAACTTTTGTACGACTTTTACGAGCAAAATTTAATTTTAAAATCTATCATTAAATATAGACTTTGTTACTTATCTACCTATGTTATAAAGAGGAAAGATTTGTATTTTTGTATGCATTGAAATAACTAAAAAACTAGTAGACCCATTTTAAAAATTCTTTCACCATCAGAAAGGTAATTTATCTATGAGTAACATGGGCATTCCATTATTACTAATGTTTAGGAACTATTAATAAACACCGTGGTTATGGACGCCGGTATTAAATTCACTAAACTTTGACTTTTCTCAGCTTACGCTGCCTAAACCGTTAGAAGTATATAAAAATGATGTATCAAAGAATTGTAGATCTGAAAAAGTTCTACAGAAAAGTCCGTAATAGCATATATCTATCTTTGACTGTTTTCTTACAAAACCCACTTTTTTGTTTCTAAAATGAATTTAAAACGGCACGCTATTTGCGGCCATCTTTTATTCTTTCTAAAAAAAGTAACAGAATTATAACAAAGATATCGAAGATAAAATAACATTGAAAAATATATTGAAATCATCAAAAGTAAGCATATCTTCTAGAAACAATAACATGTGTGTTTTTTAATTTGTTTCCCTTTGTTGTAACTTATTCATATGTAAATTGAATTTACGAAGTTCTGATATTATGTCTTACATTCCTAACGAGAAATCTTTTGCCT